CCCTGACAAAGTAACCGTTGCGTATATTAGAGAAGCAGGTAGAAAAATTTTATCAGGAATTTACCAATATAAAGCAATAAAGCATTTAATGGTGTTAGCCGAAGAAGACAACTTGAATAACAATCACGCGAAAAGTAGAGCCAAACTTTTAACTGTCGAAGATGCAATAAAATATATTAAAATATTCATTCATCATGAGAATATTGAGGTCAATGATCCTTTCAAAAATCTTCTATTGAAAGTATTAGAATATGTAAGGGTTTGCAATCCACCTCCCAAGCCTAAAAAAAAACGTAAAAAGAAGAAAGCTGCAAAACCTCCTCTTAATTTACGTGATGAAATAGAAAAATTTTCCGAATATGATGAAGACATTTTAGTTCAACTCGCTCGGTTTGCCTTGGATTTGAACCAAGAAAAATACGAAGTGTGTTATCATTGCCTGAAGAAGTCGAAAAAAAAGTTAGTTGTCTGTCCTTTATGCGGAATTGGAAAATTCTGTTCCGCTCTTTGTAACAAATTCAATAAAAAAACAAAATCAAAACATCCGTGTAAAATTTTGTTTTACAATAATCCTAATTCGAAGAAATTTGAATTTGTTGAATTCTCAAATAACAACACGAAGGAGGGATCAATTGCCCGCGGAAGAAGAACAACTCTGGATCCTCAGAAGCAAAAATACGAAAAACTTATTTCGAAAAAGTCTAGGACTTCTACCACTAGTTCTACTGCAACAACTAAAGAGGAAGATAATCAAAATAACGAAGTGAAATTTGATCGTTGCTGCGTCACGAAAAATTCAGTATTCTTTCTCTGCGAAGAAAATGAGTACTGGAAATCTGTGAAAAGGGATTGTGGTTTCCTTTGTAACAGAGGTGTAACCGAAGGAGAGGCGGACACAGAAGGTAATTCGGAATTTTGTGTATGTTATGTTCCAACTGAAGAACACTCACCACCTAAAAAAAACGAGGATTTGAGTAATAATGAAGAACTAATGAAAGGAAGTTTAGCAGAAGAAAAACAGAAAAAAGTAAACCAAAGCACTAACCAAGATGTCATTACAGAAAATTTCAATAACTTCCTCAAACGATTCAAAAAGAAACCAATAAACGATTTCCATTTGGAAAACAACCAAACGACAGAGCATAAAACACAAGATATCCAAAATTTCGGAAGCCAAATAAAAAAACATTCCATTGCGAACGATGGGCGTAAAGGTGTTCTTACATCAAGTAAACGTTTGAATCAAAAAGAAGTGCAAGATCAAACGAAATTTAAGATAGGAAGAGGAAAGTTCAATTCGAAATCAACAGAGCCGTCAGGAAGCGTTAGACATACGAGCGAACCACTGAATAGAATTAATATGCACAGATATAAAAAAAATGATCAAAGAGGTAAACACTCAAAAAATGATGAGAAAATATTGCCAGGCGAAGAATTAAGAAATGTCGACGACGAAAGGAACACATCACATGCCTTTTTGTCTAATAATCGTAGAAAGCAGCAAAAGTACGATCACGAGTCTAAGAGATCATCTGCGAATAAAAGTGGAACACAAACTGAGGCAGCTAACAATACGAAGAACGATATTAATACTAAAATGAATATGGCTCAAAACAAAGAGATGAAGGCAATTTACACTAACAGCCGACAAATTGTAAATGAGGATAAATCAGAAGCCGGTGATACTACTAACACAGAATTCCGAAGAAAGAATGATGTAAATAAGAAAAAAAACGCTGATGACATTATGATTAATAGAAAACTGGACTCAAATACCAGAGATCATGAAGAATATTCTTCTGTTGAAAATAATGGAATGATAAAAAACAAAAGGCAAAAGTCATCAGTTAAAGAGAAAAAAAAGTACGAACCTGCTGGAGATTCTGAAAAACCTGAAACGATAAACATGAATAACAAAGAGTCAAGAAGTGAATTCAAGAAAAGAAATGAGAATAAGGAGTTCACAGAAATAGATGTGAATGTTCATTATAACAAAAAAAAGACTACCAGAGAAAATAAAAGTGAAAAATCACCTGGCAGACTTGCAGCCGGGAAAGAAGATATAGGAAGAAACAGCTACAAAGTATTGAAAGAGTATATCGAAAGGCCGATGAACAAGGAAATAGGTACAGATAAAAAAGAGAGTACAAGAGGACTACAATCACGAGATACTTTGAAAAAAGAACAAGCAAGCGACATTGTTAACGACGACATAAAAGAAAACAAAATTATACATGATTGGATAAAAAGTAAGGGTTTCAGTCCTCGGAAGCCGAAAAAGGAAACGAATGTTTCAAACAAGTGGCACCCTTCCAATCAACTTGTAGAAAAAAAAGTGCCAGTGCCTGACGGTCAAACATCATCATATAAAAGTAACTTATCGAAGTTTCAAAAATTTCCGAAACTCCATCAATATTTTTTAGAGCTATTAGCGCATTATTTCCCACAGTTCAATCTGAATGGTTTACTATTTCCTTTTGCTTGCTTTGTAGATGGACAATTGTACTATAAATTTGCCGAATCGTCTCCATATTACTGTAGAACTTACAGCACCGTCTGAACCAATCATCCAAGTTTCATAATCGGTGTATATTTAGTAATTATGTCGAAATTAATACTTATCAACTTCAAAATATAGATTCTTGAATGCAAAAGTAAATCGCAGGGCTTCTTTTTGTATTTATTAGTGCGAGGTTCTTGAATAACTCAAAACAAAATGTATTCGGTTACTTAGAGTATTCAAGATTACTCCAGATTGAAACAAAGAAACGAATAAAAGCAAATCTCATCGCCTTACTAAATAGTAAATACCTTGTCGTAATACCAGACGATATATCCCCCCCCCACTTTCTGAATGTCACTATTAACGACAAGAATTTCCTACCTGGGTGCAAGGGCGTCGCCAAAGGGGGCAGGGAGGTGCAGCTGCCCCCCCACCCTAGAGATTCTTAAAAAGTTGCCAAATATAATGCAACCAAAGTTACTTTTGGTTGGTTACTTTTGGTTTAAATTGTTACCTAATATTGCCAGGCTCTGCGAAACAAGATGGAGTGAGAAACATAAAACTATCAGAGTATTTAAGGAGAATTTTCCTGTTATATTGGAAGCCTTAGAAAACTTATCGCGTGAAGGAAACATTGCAACTCGAAGAAACGCCTTTCAACTCCATGCGGCTGCTTTAAAAATTTCGTTTATACTTTGTATTACTTTGATAGCTAAATACTCTGCTTTGTTGGAACCTGTTGTCAACGCACTCCAATCCATAACTTTGGATGTGGTTAAGGCCTCGCAACACGTCAAACGCATTTTGCAATTGCTTAAAAGCCACCGTGATAATCCCGAAAGAGTCACAGATGAAATTATAAAGGATGCTACTATTGTTGCGGAGAAAGTCGGCCTGGAGGAGGATATCACTTTAATGCCGCGCATTGTTGGGAAACAACGTCATCGAAGCAAACACCGAGCAGAAAGCCCTTCAGAATTCTGGAAAAGATCATTAATAATACCATACTTGGACTCCGTTATTACATCGCTTGAAACACGCTTTGCTGAAAAAAATACTCCATCATTTGCTTTATCTAAATTACACCCCGCACAAATGCAAACGATGTCAGTCGAAAATCTCACAGAAACTTGTGAATCTATCGCTCAGTTTTATAATTTACCAAACATAAAAATTGAGGTCGTGCTTTGGCAGCAATTCTGGCATAACAAACCAAACTCAACAGATCAAACCGTTGTTGATATACTAAAAGAAGCAAAAACCTTCTTTCCCGACACGGAAAAAGCGTTGAAAATTTTTATCGCTCTTCCATGCACGACGTGTACGTTAGAGCGATCGTTTAGCAGCCTCAGGAGACTAAAAACCTGGCTAAGAAGCACTATGAGTGAAAATCGCTTTAATGGTTTGGCCATGATGAGTGTGCACCGAAAACTTATACATGGAAACTTACAAGCTTTTAATAATAAAGTGGTCGAGAAGTTTACAATGAATCTCCGAAAATTATGTTTTAATTAACCTAATATAAACAAACAACGACCACTATATTAAAATCTGGTAATTAAAAAAAATTCGCTGTACGCTGTACACTTATTCAACTCTTTTTTATTCTATTTTTCTAATAAATGTTTTTATAATTTATTTACAAGTTTTTTATTGCATAGTCAAGAGCTCGTGTAGCTTTACACATTAGACTCTGTACTGTCACAGAATATATATGTATATAGTACTAAGATACTGTTGTTATTACAATCGCTGTAGATGTAAGGCTCTTAGTACAAGTGAAAAGCTTCATGGGCTGTGCACTTTACCTACAATTCATACCTACTTTTCTCATTTATAGAGAACTAGCGACCCGCCCCGGCTTCGCACGCCGCAAACGCTACGCCCCGCAATTTTTAAATCTGTAATATCTTCGAAAATATTCACTTAAATCATACGGTGTAAAGGGTCATATATATCTATATTAAATGAATAATGTATTCAAGGTATTCAATTGGTTAAGGATTAATGCTGTATGGGTTAAAATCGCTTCGAAAATTAGCCTTTATTTGTCGCAAAAAGTAAATGACAAAAAAAAAATATTGTGGGTTATCCGTAAGAGATAGACATATACCATCACGGACTTTTCTGTAGACCTTTTCAATGTGTACAATACTTAGTACATTATTTTGATAAAACTCGTAGGGTTCAGCCTGCGTTTGCAATGTAAGCGGAAAAAATGTAATTATTTACGACATCACATTAGAAACCTCAGAAATAACAGTACTTCTCCACCATTTAGTGGATGTTATTATACATATAAACTTTCCTCTTGAATCACTCTATCTATTAAAAAAAACCGCATCAAAATCCGTTGCGTAGTTTCAAAGATTAAAGCGTACAAAGGGACAAAGGGACAGAAAAAGCGACTTTGCTTTATACTATGTAGTGATAAGAAAAGTATAAATTGTAGTAGGTAAAGTCAACTTGACCCCCCCCTGCGAAATCGGCTGGCGACGCCCTTGCCTGGGTGCCTTAGTTGGGAGAACACCCGCCTATGGTGCGGTAGGATTCGGGTTCGAGCCCCGGTAAAGGCATGGATGTATGAGTTTGTCTATTATTTGAGTAGTTTAGATCATAATTGTTAGGTAATGTACATTGATTCAAAGCTCATTGGCTTCGTTAAAAGTAGTTGTTAACTATAGAATTGAAAACACGGAAAAATTAAATCACCACATGTGTGTATCAGGTTGAATTCGATTCAACACTCTTTCAAAGAGACACAATTCATGGTTTTTAGAAGAACAGAAAGTGCTTGCCCACGAGGCACAAACTGAACAAGCGGTTGAAAGTACCAAATCTGCAGATGGCGATAAAGGACCAGATCAAAAAATAACCTGCGAATGTACCTAGAGACATATACCAGATGGATTTTATAATTTCCGAGCTAGATTTAGAATAAAACGTCATCGGTGGTTTAGTTGGGAGAACACCCGCTTATGGTGCTGTAGGATTTGGGTTCGAGTTCCGGTGAAGGCAAGGGTGTATGAGTTTGTCAATGATTAGAATAGTTTATGATGATAATAGCTCGGTATTGTACATTGATTCAAAGCCCATTGGCCGTTCGGAACCGTCGTTAAAAGTAGTTGTTAACTATAGAAATAGAAAAACGCAAGTCACTAAAAAGTCAAGAAAAAAGTAAGTCACCACATGAGTATATCAGGATGAATTCGATTCAACACTCTTTCAAAGAGACACATTTCAATTCCTTCGTTATTTGGTTAATCAAGGGTTATTACTACAGACCAGATTATATGTAATATAAAAGGATTATTATATGCATGTAACTATACATGAAATATGCATGTAATTTGGTGGAATATGCGAAATCAAATGATCCCCTCTGTTATATTAAGAATATGACAGAGGGGATCAATAGAGACCTTTCTGCAATTAATGAATGGTTATGTGACAATAGCTTATCCCTAAATGTGCTAAAATCTAACTTAAAACATAGTTTTGGATACAAGTAAAACCATTAAAATCAATGAAATTGAGGTTATAACTATAAAGATTAATGGACAAAAAATTAGAAGAGTAGAAACAGTAAAATATTTAGGCATTATGTTAGACGAAAAATTGAGTTTCAATGATCATGTTGACTTCAATCATCTCAAATCTCTAAAAATATCACTTTTTTGAGAAGAATAAGAAAAAAAATCTGTTTAGATATGGTAAATTATTGTTGTTCGAATCAATAATAATGCCACATTTATAATATGGCTCCACATTGTTATTCGGCTTGACTAAGGAAAAAATTCAACAATTACAAAAGTTACAGAATAGAACCATGCGAAAGATTTTAAAGTGCAATAGGCATACCTCTGTTAAAACTCTTGTTGCTGAACTCTTTGGAAATTATGTCGGTTAAACAAAGAATACTTTCTGCTTCGTAGTATACATTCATTGCTTCCATGTAATGTAATAAAAAATGTAACATATGTCAGTGATGTGCATGGGTATAGTTCTAGAAATATAAATACAAATAATACAAATCTAAATATAAAAATAATAAACTACGACGAAATTAAGGCTTTCAACAATTTACCAAGTATATTGAAAATTAGTATTGAAATATTAAAGCGTGATCTGAGCATAAAGTAGGTATATTTTAAATAATGAGATAGGTATGTAATTCAAAATATGTAGATTTTTTATATAGCTTCAACTAAATGAATATTATTATTATTTAATTCAATTACTATGCGTTCATAGGAAATTATGAATTTGAAGCTAAAATATAATATTCTGAGTAATATATTTGATTAGGGTGTTGAGCGAATAATCAATATGTATTAATATATATATAATGACCTGAAAAAGTTAGGTAATTATACGTTTAATAAGCTTGATATTGAAATTTTGAATTAGAAATTTCCGCAATATATTCATAAGTATCAAATTAGCTGTAACCTGACCCAGAAACTGGGTAATCACTGTCATTTTTTAACAAAATCTCATAAAAGTTGCCAATTTCGCGACTCAACTTCATCAAAAGCATATTAATTTATGCATAGGAATAATCTGGATTTCATTTATCTGACTTTGATAACCGAATATGAACTAATCTGGATGCAAATGACGAAATTTTGTGCAATATCGTGAAACCAATTAATCAATAAGAACATATCTTGTCAGTTTTAGATTCTATCAGAGGTAGACTGAGTTTCGATTGAGTTTAGATCGAGATCAAAATATATTCCAATTGATTAATCCAAATGGTTTGAATATTGGGAGTCTTGTCATCATAAATATATTTATATTATTTCATACAAACATAAAATCATTCATGCAAGCTATTATACAGGCTTCTAACTTTTTTATTTATTTCTATTTGTGTATTTATTTATTATTATTTGTGTAAAATTTTGCAATTTTTTGAATATTGTAATTTTTTTGTAATTTTTTCTCTGTAATTGGATGTATATCTGTTGAGAATAAATGTCTTATTACTATTATTATATAACCATAAGTGAATATCAAATTCTGAATATTATTATTAGTTGATAATTAGAACTAATAATTGGACAAAGTACGACGAAAGTTTTGATTTATATGGAATTACTTATAATTTGTTGAAGATTGTTAGTTGTTGTGTCTATATCGAGTAAGTCTCTGACTCTATTGATTAGAATGTCTGATAAGTTAACAATTCAGCAAAACACGTTCAAACGATTTAAAACCTCGAAATGACAAGTTTGAAATGTCTGATTTCAATTTGATATCTCAAGAACTATCTTAGAGCTGACATAAATGAATATCTATCATGAAAAATAATCTGAGTTATATTGTTACGTTTTTCGTTTCAACTAGAAAGATAGAGAGCTGTTTCTAAAGTGACTTGCTACGCGATACTACGGGAAGTAACACGTTTCAATATAAGAAATCCATCAACACCAATTTGAAATAACGTTTACAATTTGAAATAAAAGGAAAATTCAGTACGTTAGGGAATAGTGAACACAAGGAAACTCTACTCGCCGTATTCGATGGTTATTTCAGCCTTTCAGTTTATTTATATATATAAATATATATATATATATATATATATATATATATATATATATATATATATATATATATATATATATATATATTCGCGAGTATATAGAATGGGATGTCTCCATTGTCTTTCTAGGGATCAAATGTTAGAGAATATTGGAATCTCCATTATACTTCTAGGGATAATATATGTTAGAGAATCTTGAAATTGATGCCTACATTTATTGAAAGCGTGAGACCGTCACTGTTTCGTACTAGAAAGTACTCATCACTCACGCCGCGTTTAACGAATGAAAGGCAACGATTTCAATCCTCACATACCCTCTCGTTGATTGTAAGACAGAAATATAGAGTAAGTCGTATGGATAGTTATATAATGCATAGATTTATGTACATCTCAAATCTTAGAATCAATGAGAAGCACATGCATACATCTACATTGATAGTTTTACACGTTCTTATCAATTAAGACACTACATTTCACAAGTCTAGTTTTTCGGAACAATTTTATTTAATTCGATGAAGTAATACGCCATCTAGGTTGCGATTGTAGAAACGCCTGTTATCATTTTTCAAAACATGTCAGAAATTCACTTCAAGAAAAAGAATTCTGTAGTTCTCGTGCTATATTATCGCACTATGCTATATTATCGCAATTGTAGATATTCGCTATCCACATGCATTATGTATGCTCACGACTTACGCAATATTTCCGTCTTAAAATCGATGAGAGGGTATGTGAAAAAATTTTCAGTAGTGCCTTGTTATATAAACCGTTAATATTGAATCATTAAATTTGATCATTGATTTTGATTTCTATGAAGCCAGATAATGCAAATTCGCTCCACAGTATCGTATGGAGTGAAATTATCATCTAATTATGTTTAGAAGGTCAAAATGGTTCTCATGGTCAAAATAAAAACAAAGTAAAAAAAAAAGGAAAAATTTTCAGATTATGGCTAGGCGCACAAAACGAAAATGCAATAAGTTCTTTGTGCAAAACGATAGACTTTCTCCCTTTTTGAATTTAATTATGAGAAAGTTGAATTCACACATATATTTTCTTCCTTTTGGTAAATAAATCAACATTATCGGGTGCGTTCGTAACGTCAGAGTTTATAAAGAAAGGAACAACTCTGAGTTCCGAGCATTATTAATGTAGAAATAAGTCTTCACGAATTCACAAGGCAACAAACGGCAATAAGATCTAGGATAACTGCCCAATGCTTTTCGTCTTAATTCACATAAGGATTCAAGGTTGCACTGTATACATACACATCCACCCCAGTGATCCAGTGTTTAGGAAGCCACAATATTTCAACTGTAGATCATTCCTTACAAACTTTCCAGAATCACTTCCAATGATACATTCAATGTTGAGTTTATTATACGCTAGTCATGTATAATTTTCTAAATAATAAAAATAATATTAATAATATTTATTGTGAAACATTATTCGCATTGTACATATTACATTTCAATTAAAATAGTAACTACAACTAAGAAAAATGCTCAAAAAGGACTGAATTCAGTTTTGAATCATATCTTTCATTCAGTCTTCGAACAAAAATATTGGTTGAATTTTATAAGAAATTTACAATGGTAGTCAACGATATTTGAGAAAAAATGACCCTAAAGATATCAATCCTTTAATAAAATTGTATCTTGTGGAGGATAATCGTACTGAAAAAATAAACAAATATATTATACAAAAAACTCTCTCTGAGACTCTGCCACACTATATATTTCTTTGTTAAGAGCAGAGATTTAACTCTCCTATTAAACGAATGAGCATTTAAGTTTCATGATAAATGGTTAAAGATTTTAATACTCTGATAATAGAGTGAGTACTCAAATTAAGCTGTTTTATTTTTCGGAATAAGTAGCATATCACTGTTCCTTGAATAGTGATCTATCACATCACCTTGAATACTGATGATTACTTTTCAATTTAATGAACCTGTCTTAATTTTCCTTAAAATATAATAAACATATATAAATATATTAGGAAGGAAGGGAGGGTACGTAATTTTTGATGAAGATAGATTTACAAGATGTTCGTCGATAAATATCGATTATCAAATGAACTATCCGCTTTTGTGTAATAAAAACCCTATTTATTTCTGTAGAGCAGAATATTATAGGTCATATAAGACTTCTATAGAAGACTGAAATACACATTCATAATACAGTTTGTAGGTACAAAGTTCTTATTCCTAGGGATTACACAAAATAAGTTACTCAATTTTTAACATAAAACATCATTGTGCGTTGTCTCAAATCATCTCAAATAAAGAGGGTTGAATTGAATTTGATAGCCTTGTTCAATTTGATATAAGCTCTGGTGTTTTATAACAAGTTGTTTCTAATTTAAATAAAACTAAGTAGTTTTTCGATTTTCACTACAATTAATTCAAAACATGGCAATATCGTTTCGCCAACACAGCGACTTCATCAGATGTTGATGATAAACTGAG